AATTACAGGGAACAGGGAATGCGTTTGTTTATATGAGCACACACACATACATACATTAGAACAGCTTGTTACATAGAAATGGAACTGAAATTACTACAGGAGAGAATATCTGTGGAAGTAAGAAACACGCAGTGGTCAGGAGGCTGGATGTGAAGGAGTGTTCTCAATGTGGAACTTTCATCACTAAACAGAAGAAAGAGCAAAAGGAAAAAAACGAAAAAGCACTTTCTCTTTTTCCTTCTCCCAAACAGCACTGGGAAAGGTCCAGAAGTACATAAACAATTATGATAATACGTCTGAAATATCACTTTTTCCCCAAATCTGTGCTCTCTTTAATGAGCAGATTTGTCCTGCCAGTTCTTCAACAAGTGAGGAATCCAGCATTCCTTTTTTTTTCATTTTTTTTTTTCCTCTTCCCAGTGGGACAGAAATACTGGAAATGTTGTTGGGTGGTGGTTTGGGGTTTGTTTTTTTTTTAAGCCAAATTATTTCATGTGCCAAAGTACCATACTTGGGAAAGAAGAGATTTCCAAGAAGGGTTGTGTGCACAGCCAAAGCAATAAACATTTATCCTGAGCAGGGGCTAAGAGGATTTTAAGTTGGAGGAAAGGACTTGAAGCAATAAACTGGCAGGTGACTGGCAGAGACAGCTGCCTGAATACTTGAAACTGTCCCGAGTTTAGTAAAACGTATTTATTTTATTTGTGCTCAAACACGCACTCATTAGTAATGTGATCCTGCTGCTAAACGCCAGGTCAGGACAAGGGTGCCTTAGAGCCAGGGCTTCAGAGTCAAACTCTGGTCCCAGAGGGGCAAAAGAAGACTGGGGAAAGATGACTCCCGGTTACGCAAACAACACAACAAAACAGCTCTGATTTTCCCCCCTAAAAGACAAACACTAAACAGGACTAGACTGACCCACCCTCAGATTTCAACTCGGGCACAGAGATATCAATACACCCATTTACAGGACTCATGCAAATTGTTTTTCTTGTGACACTGCGTTTTCCAGCTCCAGCTGACCCTGGAGCTTCTCAACTTGCCCATTCCCTTTATTAGATGAGTTTCTTGGCTCACAGGCACACTGATGATCAGCACATAGCTCAAGTGCACCTGAGCTTGTGATGCAAATTTCTAGCAGGTAACAGAAAGTAACTTACTTTGTTTAAAGCCTTTGGCAAGTATTTCAAGTGCAAAATTTGGGATTTTTTGAAATAGTGCTGGTAAAAAACAAACAAAAAAAAACAACACAAAACACACAAAAGTAAAAACCAAAAAACCTTCTGTTTAAGCACTTGAAATCCCAGGAGGGTCAGTAAGGAAATCTAATCATAAATACGAAGTGCAACTGGCAACCTGACTCCCCCTCTCACTGGAAGAGTAACAAAATCACCACTATGATTAGATAACTGAGTCAATCTTATTTGCAAGTAACTAATATTCTAGCAGATTTTTTTAAAGTGGACAAAGCCTTCTCCTAATTCGCATTAAAAAGACTAATGGAAGAGGTAAAAGGGTTTCCTGAATCTGGAGTTACCTGCAGAATAGCCCTTAGAAAAAGCCACATGTTCCTGCACCACCGATAAGGTCTCCACACAATCCCTCTGCACACAAAAAAGCCACCTTCCCTCACAAACTACAGCAGTGCCCAAGTAGTCCCACACTGATAATCAAAGAGTCCCATGCCAGCAATCAATTCAGTTCAGCAGTAAGGAAATTCTTGCTGTAAATAAAAAGTAGAATAAACTGCAACTAATGATTTATCCCATGTTTTCTGTGAATTGCTATTACACTAGGCATGACATTGAACCAGGATGAAAAAAAAAAGACAGAGTACAGGTTGAATATAAACAGAGTAGAGTTTGCATTCCCGGGCTGATGTTTTATTTAAAATGGCAATTCTGGTTGGCATTCCCTTTTTTTATAAGGAAGAAAATGAATATTTTCCATGTATTGCTTTTCTCATTCGTTCATCTCATCTGCAAGAAACTACTCCTTAAAATAACTTGGAGGGTTTTTTTTAATGCCAAAGAGAAAAGGGTGTATTTGAGTAACAGCAATCCTTAATCACTGCTTACTGATTTAGGTCCATTTTATTACCAGGCAGCCCTTTTCCAGAAAGCCATTTTCTTAGCAGGGAGCACAGCATATTTGCAGGGGCAGAGGGCCGTGTCCCCCCCGCCATGGCTGCATCCTCTGTGTCTGGCCAGCCTAGGAAGGCAGCAGGAGGTTCAGTACCAGAGTTTTGCCTGACAATACTCATCTCTGGGAAGTGTGAACGAGTGTTAGATATAAAGCAAGAGGCTGGATACAAAAGACCCAACAGGGCATAAAACCGATACATACTGCACACTGTGACTCCTCTCATGGGCAAGGCAGGAATTGAGGGAGAGAGAAATGAAGAATTTCACTCTTTGCATTGAGATATTTTCTTGGTTTGGGGGTTGTTTGCAATTGTTTACGTGTCAGCATAAAAATAATGGATTTGGGTAGAAGGACCCGTTAAAAACCTCCCTTGTTTTAGAATGTTTTTCACTCCCTCCCTTCCCTAGTCACTATTTGTCACAGTCAACTACTGAAATCCTCTATTAATCGCTAAATCCAGATAATAGCGGAGGTGGGTTGGCTGACCTGTGAAATTAGGTCTGCATGTAAAAAGGAATTGAACTGTGTGAGCTTTGGAAATAACTCTGTCGGTATTTACATTAGCATTTGAACATCAAAGATCTCCCCTGGGCTCCTCTAGGTGCCTCTAATCCAAGTACCAATCAACCAACTCTGTTTTTCTACCCAGCCAGCCCGGCTTGGAGACCCTCAGAGATATATCCCGGCCAACCAAGAGGAAGGTGAGAAGCTTCTCACTGGTTGTCAGTCCCCAGGTTTCCTGGGGCCCCGCTCTCCTGAAAACATGCTAACAGAAGAAGGGAAAAATAATCAGCATTTTTATTTCACAGGAGAAACAGCCTATCCACCTCATGGGCAAGCATGTGCACGCATTGTAATTACCATCTTAATAAGAGGCCTTTAAATACACCAGGCTCAGCAGACTACAGGAACGTAGAAATTAAAAGGAAGACTAGAAATTATTTCCTTTCGTTATTACCAGTAATACTGTTATTGTTTTAAAGAAACAGTCACCTTAGAGTCCTGAAGGGCACTGCATCAAATACATAAGCTCACTTGCTATTTGTATGGGCATAGCTGCTGCCACTGCAGCTGCAGATCTCAAAGCACAGCCATCACTTAGGCCAAAGTCTCACAGCCATATGGATCTTCTCCCATTCTACAGATGGGCAAAAAACAGGGCTCCAGCAAACACCCACCACCAAGTCTGGCTCAATCCTCTAATTCTTTGCAGAAGACTCCTCTGAAGTCCTGATAATTTGGAGGCCTTTGTTCTCACCTTTCCCCATTCATTAACAAGCCATCTACTCTATTTGACAACAGGTTAAAATTTACCCAGTATTTTCAAGACAAGCAGAAAGCAGTGTTGCCTTCCTAATAGCTCCAGCCTCTAAGGATGTGGGAGAGGGCTGGAAGAAGAGAGAGGGGATCATTTACCACCATTTGCTAATAAGGTAGGTGAGCTGCACAACATCAAGTGTGCTTCCTCCTGAGACCCATTCTCAGACATAGTAGCTATTTAGCTCAAGAAACTCAAGGTGAAGGTTGATCTAACATCTATGTTCAAGATATTTTAAGAAAAACTTAAATGAAAAAAGGAAAACAATCCAGGAACAAAAAGTGCATACTGACCATGCAAAAAAGTTGGCATGAATTTAGTGGGATGTTAAAAATTGTCATCATCATATAAGGCTGCAACAGAAGTCTCATACCTTTAGACTGTGCCACTACCTCTTATTTTTTATGGACCTTTACTGAACTATCCAGAGAGAAAAGAGAGGTAGAAAAGAGATCACCTTTAAGGCTTCTCCTTTCTTTTCTTCTCTCTTTTTTTTAATGACAATAGAATTTTTTTTTCCTAAAGTTGTATTAGGGATTCACTTAAGCAGAAATGAACTGTAATATGCAAATAGTTCTAATTGGACTGCTAATAGAGCGTGTCTCTGTTGTTTTTTTGTAGGGAGTTTTATGCCTATGTAATCAGTGCAGACAGCCGTTAAGTAAATGAAGAGGCAACTAACAATGTCAGAAAAGAGACCGGGCGGTTCCAGCTGACACTACCCTAATCTTCCAGGACCCATTAAATGGCAGTTTCAACGCATTACCTACCATAACATCCTTGAATATCACTGATTTTATTTGCAGTATCAAACATTCCATTTCATGCCCCATTAACAGTAGGAGCCTGGGCTTTTTGACGCAGCTAAACATTTTACTAACTACCTGGACTAAGTAACCAATTAACTTTTGGAGACAATACGGCCAATTAAGCGCGAAAAGGTAAGGCTGTCATCCCCCACTAAAATTGAATTTCCTTTTCCTGATGGCACTTATTGTCGATGTTCAATTGTTAATGGAGATTTGGTCCCTATTAAAAGGATGAAGCCGAAGGATAATGGGAAAGTTCAGAGGACTCGGTTCCTAAAGAGTAGGTCAGAAAATGTCCCAATAGGCCACTAATTCAGTCATCTTTTCTTCATGCCAGCTCTCTTACTGGAATAGTATTGGCAATGTAGCTCTAATCTGACCTACCACGTTAATACATTGTGCAATATGGCAGCTTCAGACACATGCACGCACACGCAAGGGGTAGTGAGGGAACTTACATGGAAAAAATAACCAAAAACACAAGTAGAAATAACCGTTGGATTTTGACAGCTGAAATACTCTTCTCACATACTGAGCTGTTTAGCATGGTGGTGAGCCTCTGAGCATGTAAGCCAAGGGAGCAGGCGCTGCTGTGATGCTCATGTGAGCTTCCCTGGCTGTTCATAGGAAAAGCCATAATAGACACGTACGTGTGTAAGCTTTAAACATTCATCTTCATAACTTATATGGATTTTTTTAATTGTTGCCATCAGGCTGAAACCACCTACCTTGTCCTGGGGTCACCAGCACGTGGAGAAGCTGTTTCTTGGGTGTTCTTCCTCAGAAGAGGTAGTAGTGTGCCCATATACACTGTATAAAGGGAGAAAAAAGTTTAGCGCTGATATCTTCTACTTTTCAATATTAATTATTGTTTTAATTGTATTTTATACCTCTACTCTGAGTGAAAACCTGTCATCCTCTATCATGAGGTGAATGTCCCCACCAAAAAAACATTGCAGCAAGAAGCTAACAGGTGGCAACCTAAAAATCTCCTCAAAGCATATACACTTCATGAGGTCTTTCAATAAGTGAGCTCAAAGAACTTTCCACAAAACACCTTGTTGGATTAACTTTTTAATGTTATTTTAAGGGGTTTGCAGTGGGGTTTTTTTCCCTTTTTTCCTCAGAAATGAGCTGAAGGAAGAGGCAAAAGGCACAAGTCAGTATGCAGACACAAGAAATGGCACAAGTACAGAGGAAGCTGTTTTATGTGAACAATTTCTAAACAGAAATGCATGGAAAACATAAGGAATAGGCTGCAAGTTTGCCATGGGCCTACCCTACAGCTGCTTTTAGGCCACCAGCCAGACAAGTCTGGGAGCTTGGCTCTTTGTGTCAGGCAGAAGGTGTGTGCAGATAAACCCCAACCCCAAAGAAAGCATCCTCTTTGATAAGGATAGCACACATCCTCCAAGGGCACCTAGTGTCTGAAAGGCTACCAAGCCAAGCTGGACTGAGGTGCAACATTTGGAGACTATCTTTTACTATGTACTATCCATTACTAATTACATAACATGGAGTCCCTTTATCTCAGCAACAGTACCTGCTGAAAAGCACTATGATTGAAATACAAGTGTACTATAGCCCTTAAGAGGAGGGTGGAAAGCATCATATTTTTGAGACCAAATAAATCCCAATGCTGGTTTTGTGGCTTTCTAGACTCTCTGAATACTTCCATTATGCAAGACAAAGCTGAAACCCACATTAAGATGCAGGCTTACTCTGCCATAACATATTTAAAGATTAACACAGCCACAACATAGTCAGTTTAGACTGTTATTAATCTAATCTCTTAAATGCATAGAATATCCAAACAAGAAAGCAAGTGAGCTGATTTTGGTCTACCCTAATAGCAAAAATATGTCTTTGGCTTTTCTCTGCAATGCTTTACACCATTAAGCAATTACTTGTGGGCAGAACCCCAGCACCCATATTGCTACTTATGGTTAAGGGATTTTATTCCAACTAAGTCTTCCAATTGAATCTGGTGTCATTAGGCTTTTGTAGGACCTGGCTTCCATTGCCTCTAAGGAGTCCTCATTACCTTGAGTGACTTACTATCCCAGTCTGAAACATACAGTACCCAGTTTACCCTAAGAAGTAAGCTTTTAATCAGTTATTGAAGCACCCTTGCAATCAGAAAAGTGAATAAGAGAAGCTTCCATCTTCTTCTTGACAGTAATACATCACAAAGCCTTTTTCTAGTTAACCTACTGCTGCATCAAACCTGCAAAATGCAACTAAAGTCTTTTCTGCCTTGCACATCATCACCAACTACTGAAATTCCACAACAATATCGCCCTTTAATGAAAGAAAAGTCTCAATCTCCTGATCTTTCTTCCTCTTTTCTCCTTGCACAGATCCCTGGTTGAATCAGACACAGTATTTGTTATACTTCAGCCTGCAAGATCTTTGAATTTGTGTTATGGTTCAAATATAGATTACCCCAACCCATTTCTGTTTTTAACTTTGGATGGTGGATTTTTTTAAGTAAATATATTTTGGCACTCTCTCAGCTCCAAAAATATAAAGATTTGTGGCTTGGTTGTAAAAATGGAAACACATTAATTTTAATTTGAAGAAGAAAGTTTCATGAAACTATTTAGTTTAATATCAAGTTGTAATGAGAAAAAATTAGAGAAGAAAAAACTTTTTAAATTAATTGTTTAAAAATATTTAAAACCCTCCCTCTCCACACCCTTGAAGATATATGGAGCTAAGTTAATGGCAGCACACAGTGGAATCTTGCTCAATGGGAATTTTCCATTATCCTTGACAAAAAGCCCCTAATGCCCATGGGTTCTGACAAAAGTCATAGTTATGAAAAACATATGGCCTTAATAATAAACCAAATCTTTGGTCAGAAATCTAAATTGCTTTTGTGTAAGCGAGGACAGGACTCAGCTGGGCATCAAGGCTGGAATCAGCTATAGCCGTGACTGGGGCTGCATAGTCCCTCTGCTCCTCCTGCACACAGGGCACTAGACACATACAGAGATATGCTATGGTCCTCTCGACCCAGGAGCACCAAGAACCATCTTCTGAGCATGAACAATGTAGGCTCAGCCAGCAAAAACCATAAATATAACTTTTGTATTGCATTGACACATACAGCTCTATGGAGAGCACCAAGCCTCCTTCCTCCCCTGCTGAACAGTCCTATATAAGGCAGCTACATAGCTCAAGCTACCATGCTGCTCAGAGACCCAAATCCCACAGCTACATTCTCCCTCTACAAGAACTGTTTGTTTATGTCTTCCTAGAGAAACCACTCTAACACAAACCTTTTGAGGTCATCTTCATCCAGTTTCAGCATCACTAACATAAAAACTTCTCCCTCTTCACCATAGCAGTCTCTGCTGCCAGCTCCCCAGCTAACCACACCACCAAGGCAAGAGGGGAAAAAGAACACACAATAAGCCAGCTGGTTGTTTCAGCACTCAATATACCTCACCTGGTGTAATCAAAAACACCAATCACCTATGAGCTGCATTTCCCACACCTGCAAACCCTCCCAGGCTGATGTAGTTTGTGTTAATTAGCAAAAGACATGCATTTTTCACTTCTCCATTGTAAAGCTGCATTTTAGTAAGCATGAAGCATGGGAAGACACAGATTTCACACAGAAATGTGTCCTTTTGTTCCAGGCTTTTGGCACAAGGAGTTTAGGGCCTCTGGAGGGCCTGGTTCCCTGAGCCAGAAAATCATATTCCTGTGGACAGTGCTGCTTTCTCCATCAGTGCACTTTATAAATCCTAAGTTCCTTTCAAAGCTTCATTTATAGAGAAACCAACTCCATCATTGAAAGACTGTGTTGTGGAAGGGCAAGAGCACCCTTTATTAACCCTCTGTTTCTCCCTGGGTTCCTAAAAGTGCCCGGTCCTTCACAATGCAACTTCTTGTATGAAACAAGTAAGGAAAATGTCTAAAGCTTAGATATTGCAGCCTCTATAGATCTGCCTTAAATACCTTGCTCTTGTCTTTGGTGGCTGGATAATATGTACCAGATAATATGTACCACAGATGTGAAGTTGTATCAGTTGTAAAAATACCATGTAATGTGCTAAGAATATTTTGAGGAGTTATTCTGGTTTACTCAGCAGATGATCACCATTCCTCCTATTGACAAAAGCTCAGCTCCTGACCCTACAAGCACAGACACATGGACCCCTCTTCACAGATCAGAGCTTTTCTTGCTTTTACCCAAATTCCCTCTTTTTTGTCTCTACCCTCCAGTGCTACTCTGAAACCAGACGTGAATCACACTGCTCTCACCAGAGCTGGGATTTATTCCACTTGAAAACTCCACATATAAAATAGACCACCTTATGTGGGACCAGAGGGTAACTTGTTGCCTGGCTGGTGATTATGAGGGGTATAAGGTTGCATATGTAATTATGGGGAGGTTGGAGCAGGCTGAGGCTGTAAATTCTCTGCTGTCTGCTTGAGGAGCTGAGTGCTGAAGCCGCCTGGGTGCCTGCTCTTTGCCAGATTAAAGTTGTTCCTCCCCATGACCTTGATTCTGAGTGTTTGTCTCTGGTAGGGAACATAGCTCAGGCCTTCAAAACTCACAAATGGAAAAATACCAGGGAAATTGGAGCTGGAACCAAATAAACATTACTGGCTTGGGATCCCAGAGAGGGGATGTTTGCCTGCACTAGATATAGACAGTCCTTAACAGCTTCTGAACGTCTGATTAATCCATATTTCCTCCACTATTTTCAATATAGGTAATTTGCTGAATGGTCTTCTATGTGGTTTGCAGACTTAAACCACCTACAGAACTTCCAGAAACAAACATTTAATCCTAGCTAGGTTTTGAATTACTTTCCTTGTGATCTTACCTTAAAAACCAAGGACTGGATTTTACCTACAGCCTGTTAGATACATGGTTGGTTTTAATCCATTGTCAAAATTATACATTTGATGGCTATAAGCCAAATGAAGGAAAAGAAGACACACAAAGAATCTACCATTTCTTAAAGTAATTTCATTCCACAAGTTAAAATTGTTACTAACCTCTGCAACACTTAATTAATTGAAATGACTCTAGCTGTGGGAATCTGTGGTGAAGAGGTCTCTAATAGTTACATGCAATTTGACCTGGAATTCAGTTAGAGCTAAAAGATACTTGAACAACATTTTTCAAGAAATGAAAAATAAAGACCCTGTTGAATTTAATCAGTTCTCTCCTTTTTTTTATCCTGTCTCTTGTTTTCCCTCAGGGATTTGCTGGACATAATCCTTTGCTAGCTCATGTACACAAAACACCTGCCTAAGCACAACTTTAGCTTCCAAAGACAGATGAAATAACAGATACCAGACTAGCTGTTTTGTTATTCAAATTATGACAAAGTCAGTGTCATTAAGAAGCCCAACTCTAACCCACTCTAAAATGTATCTTGGCTGATGAGAACGACTCATAATAGCTATAAAGAAGACAAGTTCTTTGTAACGGACACTCCCTACTCGTTCATATTTATGATAGCAAATTGTGGTATCCCAGCCTGATTAATAAAGTTTGTGCTGCACTATGTCTCTCAGAAAGGATTCCAACAGATTTAGCCAGACCCTCCAGAAAATACACAGAAATTATTTTATCCATGGCAAAGAAGTGGCTGATTCAGATACAGAACTTGCCCGTATTTACCAGCAGCAATAAGAAAGGACTTGGAGGTGCAGGGCAGGGGGAACACAACTGAGTTATACAGAAAAGCATCATGCAAACTATGTCTGGTCAGAAGAATGGTTCTAATAAATCTTTTTAGTCATTTAAAAGGAACGCAGTTAGTTGATGAACTGCAAAGAGAAGGATTCTTAGTCCGGACTGCAGTCATATCCCTAAATGAAAAAAATAAGGTGCTCAGGGAATCACAGGCTACTATCACTGTATCCTGCAATTATTTGTTGTTAGTTTTGCTTTTCCTCTTTGATAACATTCTTTAGGTTTCTTCAATAAGCAGCTGGCGCTGTGCTGTGGACATTTTATCCAGCACAACTTATAAGTCACTCTATGCCTCTCAGTATATTGCAGTGAATAAGGAGGAAAGGAGAGGGTGAACAGTAAAAATACACATAGTTGTGTATTTTGTAATACAAGACGTTCCCTGGATTTTGTTATGAACCACATGTGAAACAAGAACGTGCAGACAGAGCTGCCTGATCAAAATTAACATTGCATCCCTCAGAAAAGATGTCACAGCTGTCCAGTCTAACCTAGAGGTAGATTAATGCAATTATGTCAAGGTATACGAAAGAACTCTTGAAGCTATAAATGATAATAAAGGGTAAATAATAAAAGAAAAACAAAAAAAAACAAAAAAGAGCAGAAACTCCAGAAGTGAGATGTTTTAAATGAAAGGTGATGCACTGTGAACTTAACACACTGGCCCTTTAGCCTTTCTGTTAAAAAGGTAATCTGATTGCCATTGATTTTTTTCACCTCTGTTACTAAGAAGGTGATGGAATGGTGTCCACACAGATGTATTGAATCAGATACTAAACAAAGAGCAACATAAAGAACAATTATCAGCAGCCTTGCCTTCAGCTTGCCGATTATGACATTACTGAAAAGACAAGGTCTGGGTGACTTAAACCAAAAGGAAAAAAAATAGAGGAGAGGGAGGAAACCAATACATGTTTGCCATCTGTCTGAGTACAGACAGTTCTTTGCCTTTACCAAAATATGTATTTCCCCTTTGCAGCTTGATAGGTGTCAGAGTGTGAGATAACTAATTAGCTTGATCATGTTACAGAAAAAAAATAGCACAAAGGCAAGGGCCAACCAGCAGTTTATGTTTTATCCTACCTACAAAATTCTGTATGGAGAATTTTGTGTTTATGGTTGTGTCTGCCTAAGTATTACTGGTCTTAGTTATTGCCTGCATGATCATGAGGCAGATTTTCCTAAAGGCTTGGGAATACAGAGGCTGTTACAGGGCTCGGAGTTACTCAAGAGGCTATAAATAGGTGTATATATATCCACTTTTGAATGACGTAGAGAGGAATGGCTGGCCAGATTCTCACAAGGTATAAAATGAGAAAACACCATGCATCCACATACCACTATTGATTTCAAAGCAGTTGGGCCAATTTACACAGGCTGAGAAGTAGGACTGGATAATGGGAAGACTAATGTTGTAAACTCTCATCTTGTGGAATAGCTTTCAGTTTGTCCAAATGGCACAGGCTGTTCAACTTGCATTTCTAGTGGCACAGCTTTACCTGACCCAGCCTGTATAAACAGGACAGCCAAGTAGCTCTAGTGCTTGGCTGCCTTTATGTACTAGCAAAAGTAATGACGCCTAGTATGTAGTATTATTATTTTATGACATCAGCATAGTATGACATTTTCTCAAGGGCAGCCCATATCATTTGCCCTCCTCTGTATTGCAACCATCACTAATTGACTGTGAAAGTGGAGAATTCAATGGGTTAGGGTGATCTCTTGTCTGAACTCCAAAACAGTTTGTGGATAGAAATCAGCTGAAGCAAAACAGTGGTGCCATTACACTGTCAGGGGATATAGCTTCTGTACGAGAGAGGTAAACACTTAAAGGAGCCAATCCACTACCATGTAGTGATATTATCATTCTATTTTAGATGTGAGAATCATGTGAATTAATAAAAGTTGACCCTGACATGACCTAACTAAAATAAACCATGATGAGCTCCTATTGCTGTAAGGAGCAAGTGTTACATGTTTAGTCTGGATAACACCCCAGCACCCTTTCTCACAAGGGTTAACAACTTCCCCTGTCCAGGCTGAGGGCACCATTCAAACAGTGTCATTCATTGAGAATAAGACAATTTTGTCTTTGATGTTAAATCAAAGGGTTAAATTGTGTTCTTCTTTCCTAGGTTGAACAAAACTTTCTGATCTCATTCCCTTCATTGGTCTATTCAGGGCATAAAACATTGCCTAATGTGAATAACAAAGATGATCTGCTTGTGTATTCAGTGTCCACACACCTCTGAGTGTGTGTTTTTTACTGTGTAATAATTGATAACATCTTCCAAAGACAGCCTAAAAGACAGGTACATAAACTGTAAGAATCCAAATGGATATACCTTAAATAGGATCTCATGGTGCTTAGACTTGTCCCACTGCACCCTAATTACTGAAGAATATTTGCTTTTGCTTATAAGGGCAAGAGCTGGTTGATCAGATATGAATGAGTCTAACAACAATTGATCCTGAGGATAAGGTAGAAAACATTGGTTGGGCATCACACTAAGCTACTTTGTAGAGCAAATCATCAGATATACAGTGAGCAGATACCACATGTTAGCTTGTTTCATACCTCCCAAATCAAACAGAATCTCTTCCATTGAAAGTTCACCTTTGATACGACCGTGTAAGGTTGCAGCTGATGTCCTTACCTCAACATGTCAAAGGGCATAATATTATCAGCAGCTGCAGCCAGGAA